TCTCTCTCTCTCTCTCTCTCTCTCTCTCTCTCTCTCTCTCTTGCATCACCCACCCCCTCTCTATCTCTCCAGCCTTATTTCTCTGTCTAGCATGCAGCCATTATGTCCATTGCCTGTTATTGAGCCTTCCCGCTCTCTCTCTAACAAGAAAGTCGATTGCCTGTTATTCGTGGACGCTGATGAATAAATAAAAAATTTGTAGGTTTTTTATATAAATTTGTTGATAGAGATTGCATATTGGGGCGTTCCTTTTCTCGTCATTCTCAATTTTTTTCTTTAATTATGAATAACAAAATTTGTTTTCTTTAATTATCAATAACAAAGAAATAAAACTTTGTAATATATGTTCCAGGTTTCACAATGACTTTGCTATAGCCAAAACCGAAATCTTGGGTTCTGGTCTCTGTTCGTTATGCTTAAAATTCAATTCTTATTTATTTGTGAATTTTTAAAAGAATTGAAACGTTAAGATGGATGAAACTTGAAAGTTCCAACTATTACGGGAAAAATTCAGTCCAAAGCATATTGGGGATTTTTTTTTTTTAAGTTAGTTTATGTTGCATTTAGTTTGTTATCAGGCTATTCTGACAAAATTCTGGTCAAATTAAAGTTGAGTTTTTTTTTTTTGGTCAGTTTATGTAGTAGTTTATTTGTTCTCTGGCAGTTTTAAAGTTAAAATTTAATGAATTCATTTTGTTCTCCTAATTTTGTATTTATTCATGGTTTTTTGCTTATAACCCAAATATCTGCGTTCCTAGAAAAATATATTTTAAGGTATGGTTAAATCGTTCCTAGAAAAATATATTTGAAGTTAAGGTTGAATTTTCAGTACTAAAAAATGTTGGATTTTCTGTATCAACAAGCTCATTTACATATGGATTTTGTTGGCATTCATTTTTCATGTTCAAGTCATTATTCACATAATGCTGTAGACTTCAAATAGTTGTTATACTCATTTGGAGTTTCCCCCCCTTATTGGGTAGTTTGCAGTCAATCTAATTTGGTTGTTATCTATTTTCTTATTGTTTAATAAATTTCAGTGGTATCTATATCGTGTTCTATGTATAGGATGAAGAAGGAGAAGGTGAGGCTGAGATAGAGGGAGAAGGTGAAGCTGAAGTGGAGGGTGAAGGTGAAGCAGATGTGGAGGGAGAAGGTGAAGCAGATGTGGAGGGAGAAGGTGAAGCTGAACTAGAGGGAGAAGGGGAAGCTGAGGTGGAGAGTGAGGGTGAAAGGCCAGAAATCGATGTGGATCGTGAAGAGAGTGAAGGTGAGAGAGTTCAAAGCTCACATGAGAGAGAAGTCAGTGATCACAGGCAAGAGAGTGGAGGGAAGGACGAGGAAAGTGATGAACAAGATTATGGTCATAGGGCGGCAACTAGTAGGAGGAGAGAGGTAATTGCTAGTGAATCCGAGGGATCAGAGGAACACCATTCTGTCGAAAATGGGGATGATGAGATTCAGCAAATAAGAACACAAAGGTGAAATGCAATTTTTTCTCTCTCTCTCACTCTCTTTCTCTCTAAATTGGTAGGTGAGATGAATGTATAACGTGAAGGCTGTTTAGATGATCGAACAATTCCATCGAGGAAAGGAAAATAAGTGAAAAGCAGTAATTGTTTCTGATCAGTACTTAATTTCACTTGAAATGTTGCCTCCCGCTCCCATTCTAAATGATGTAGCGATGCCTTGTGTCTAGAAGGCCAATTTTGGGAGATTGATGTTTCTAACACTTGTATACATCTCTTTGTAGTATATAGGCATACATTCTTATTCATGTATATATATAGATGCATGCTGCACACCTACAAGCATATATATATATATATATATATATATATATATATATATATATTTGTATGAATTATATGCATGAGTGCATATACTTACATTTACATGCTTACTATCTCTGTTCATTTTATTCCAAGGCATGACATGTTTTGTATGGTCTGTCTT